TGTTTTTTAATTAAAAATGTTCCGAGCACTGAGCTGCCAAGGAATTTTCCGAAATTGTGAGAGAGGGTATCAATGCAGCGGATTGACCAATGGATACCCTATTGCATGAAAATCATCCGTTAAAATTGTATAGACAGCTGAACAATGGATTCTCACAGCATTCCAAGCATTCCACGAATCTGTGATGGAATTTAAACTTTGATTTATATGTACTTTTCTGGCATATCCCTGCATTTGATTCTCCTCCAAGTTGGAATAGAGTATGAATAGCTCCGCGAATTCCTCGCATAATGTGCACGGAAAACCGCATTATGCGCAGGTGTGACCCAGGTGCGCATTTGGCTATTTAAAAATTGGTCAGCGGTCATAAATTTTGCCCCAATTTCACCACCCACCCATGCAGAGAGTGGGTGTGGGTGTGGGTGTCTGTTTCTGTGTTTCTGTTCTAAATGAAATCAAGCATGCCTGATGAATGGGTAAGATGGGTGGTGGGTGGTGGTTCCACCCACAGGCTTCCGGTCAATGTTGCCATGGCCGTGTCCGTGTCCGTGTCCATGTCCGTGTCCGTGTCCGTGTCCGTACCCATGTCCGTGTTTATGTTCATGTTTCTGTTTCTCTCTACTGCTGCCATTGCAGTTTAATGCGTTTTTAAAGCGTACGAAAATTATGTGCCCTGCTTGGCACGGGAATGGTCCGGCTATGGTATGGTCCGCGGCCTGGTCTAGTTTTAAGCCGAAACATATAAAAATAATTTATGGCAAATTATAAATATATATTGTACATAAATGTGTGCGCGCTTCCCCCCGTTTGGAAAATGGTTTTGCATTGAATGAATTTTATTGGGATATAATCCGCCTAGGATGAATAAATAATCAAAAGTGAAAAGAGCTTACAATGAACCATGGAATGGAGAACTGATCGGCGTTGCATCGAGATTTCATGATTATTTAAGGCGGATTGCAGCATGCTTTCGCATACCCCGTCTGAATGCGCTTTATACCCACCAAAGAAAAATTAATGCTGCAGCCAAAGATTGCATTTTCAGAAAATTTAAATATATATGCATGTATGTGTGTGTGTATGTGTATGTGTATGTGTATGTTTATGTGTATAAAACCGCTATAGCCTGAAAACATACAAATGTACGTACGCATGAGAGAGATAATTTTAATGGAGACTTCATGGGACACTTCATGGGAAATGTCTCAAAAATGTCTCTCTCCTAAAAGATCCACTTCATTGTCGTCGAAAGTGAGAGGTAAAGTGGAAAATGCCCCGGCTAATCGATCGGTAAGCAGTGCAATTTCACAGCAAGTGCCAATCGATTGTTTGGCGCACGCTTTTCCGGCTAACTTTTCCGATTCACGGGTCATTTGAATGGCGCGGCGCCCCTGCTCAGTTCCGCTCCTTACGCTCGAGGGGCGCCGTGAGCATCGGCCCCGTCTGACGATTAATTATGCGGACAGAAAGGGTGTGGTTGGTGGGGTAGTCCTCGCCCCCGCTTGGGCGCACATGTTGGGTGTTGGCATAATATATGCATTCTTATTAACAATCTCGTCGCCATTGTAAGTCTCAACAACTTTTGGGAGAGCTCCTCACAGCCCTGCGGCCCCTTCACCATTCTGTGGCTGCTTCATTTGGATGTGTAAACGTGTTATTTATTTTCCCCCCTCACCACTCACACACCGACATCCTCACCCCCACCCCCACCCCACCCCCACCCGCACCCATGGTCCATGGCTCATGCTTTGCAAAAGGAAAAAAGAAAAGAAAACTGAATGTTGCCTTTTAAGTGGCAATAAATCAAATTGTCCTGCTTCCTTGCCCTTTGGGGATCGCTCGATGGATGGAGGATGGTGGTTGCAAAACAGAGAGAGAGAGAGGGGGACTGCGTCAAAGGGTGTCAGAGGGAGGAGGCGTGGCAGTCAGTCAGAAGAGTGAGCTGTTGGCAACTTACTTTCATATTTGACTTAGTCATAAAAGGCAAAAGCGATTCCCTTTCAAGCCAGCGACTAGTCAAAGGAGGAATCAGCCAAGGAGCTGGAATCCTCCAGCCAGGGCCAGGACCAAGACCTAACACACATGTACATATGCACATATGTATATGTATGCATGTGATGTGTGTGTGTGTATGTGGGTGGTATTCCGTCCTCCGTCCTCCGTCTCCTTCTCAGTCGCTGACTGCCGCTGCGTCAGCGTCGCGGCTTTGCGCGCTACGCTGTTTGTTTAGCGTTCCATAAGCTCTTAAGCTCATTTCGGTGGCGTTTTATTTGTAACTTGAGGCACCCGATACACACACACACACACAGACGAACACATACACAGCTCTGGCACAAAAGTTCCTTTATTTATTTAAAATAAAGCTGTCAAGCAGCTGAAATATTGAATCAAACAATTGCAAGACGACAGCTGCAGCTCCAAAATTAAGAGGAGAGAGAGAAAGAATTGCGAGATGGAGAGCGAACGAGTCAAAATGGCTGAGAATTGAGAGATGGAGATAGGGGTCGATAGGAGCCAAGTCGAGAGATGCTAGAGATGTATAGATGAAAGTCGATTAAAGATCGCCCTTTATGCAGGTGCCCCAAAAACCATGAGGCAAACAGTTTTCGTTCTTTCCGCCAGGTAATGCATAAATTCTACTCCAATGTGTATATCCTGTACTCAAAGGGTAGATGAGGCAGAAAGGCCATTGCTTTAAGTCCAGATGGGCCAGAAAGCGAAACAGATCGAACAGAGTGGAGTATTCAAGGCTATTCACGAGAAAATACTTGAGTTATAGGGTATCAAAAAGTTGGTACACATCTGGCAATGATGAGAGTTCCCTATCCCTTCCCCAGTGCTAGCTGGTGCATGTCTTTGTGGTTCTTTGTGCGCTTAGGAACAACTGAATTTAACACCTTTTGATCGGCAGACAGGATGCGACAGGGGACAGGAATGTGTATGTGTGTGTTTAGTTATGACACAAAATAAATTCCTGTAAGCTCCACTGAAGAGCAAACACACACACTCCATGACACTGCCCCAAAAGCAAGGACTGGAGGACTGTGACTCCGACTCCGACTTACATGTGCTCGTTATTCATAAACTTAATGCCAAAGAGAGCATAATTTTCATTTCGCCTCGTTTCGGGTTTTGTTTGCTCCGTTTTGGCAACGGCAACAGCAACGGCAACGGCAACGGCATCCACCCACCGTACCACCGAACCGAACCGCACCGTGTGCCAATGTGTGCCAAGACTTAAGCACATACACAGCAAATAAAAGCCAAACATTGGAGGAACAACAGCTAGAAAGAGGAAGGGGCAGCAGTGGAGTAGACTGGAGTGGAGTGGTGCGGAGTGAAGCGGGGCATAAACTGTACGGTGTGGCAGCAGCGGTAAGTGGGAATTATATAAACATATACATCAGTGAACAAACACCCATACTCGTATAAGAGCACACAACAACTGGCAGATGTTGCGGCCTCATATCGGCACTAAGATCGCCATCGTCGGAGCAGCCCACAAGCATACGCGGCGCATGAGTGATATGTGTGTGTGTGTGTGTGTGAGTGTGTGTGTGTGGAAACTGAGGGAAGGAACCGGATTTGGCATTGAAAAGATACATTTAAGCATGATACTTCTCAACGATCAGCCACCGCTTATATGGTCAATACATTTTTGGATGATATGTACGCCAATTCAAGCAATCAGAATAGAATATATGTAAGTCTTTTGATCGATTCAGGGGAACATGACTGTAAGGTATGCACGGTTATAATCTGCAAGAATATAGAACCGCTGCTCGCGTCTGGACCATGAAAACTGTTGTTCTGTTCCACGTTGTTCTGTCCTCCTTGTTCTTCTCACTTTTCTTTCCCTTTCCCTATCCTATGCTTGCCCGAGACCCTTGACCCTTCTCTTGGATGCCCTATAGTAACCCATGCCAGTGCCGAGAGACAGAGCGTGCTCTACTCTGGCGATACCCAGCATCTGCTGGACCATGTTACATGTTACACCGCCATCACTTTCTCCCTGTTGGGCAGTGTCCCCTCCAACCCCTCGTAGCAATCGTCTGTTCTCTTTCTGTTCAGATGCACCCGGGCACAGAGCGACGCTGTCGTTTTCTTATCTTCCAGACGATGGGATCCAGACCCGATTCGTATTTCAATTATGCATTCCGACAGCATGGCCACTGGATTCTCTGTCCCGCTCACACCACACTGGCAAGCCAGGACACCAAACCGAAGCATTTGATACTTTTTCCAAGTCGATCTAACACGTTTCTTTTATAGTTTTGCGACAGCCTTGGTGATGCTGCCAGCATTACACTGATATTATTACGGAAATCTTTCCTACGGAAGCTGCATACATATTGTCATATACAGATGCGGCTTTTACGATTTTGTATCTCTTCTAAGACGTAATATGTACCTCCTGCAAGAGTATGTAATGATGAAGAAGGGTATGGAGGAGAAATAGTCAGCTACATGCCACATTCCGGTCATTAATACGCCATCAGAAGCGAGTGCCCAACGAGCAGGGGAAAGAGATACTGATAAAGAGGCAGGTCATCGCTGCCATCTCGCGTCATCATCATCATCAGGGGCGGAGCTCCGCTTAGCTCCGGTTGTTGTCCGCCGGATACGCACGGACGGACAATCGGAATGCTTCTCCTGCTACCACCTGAACCAAGTACTAGCCGTAGAATAATATGCTAGCTATTGCAGCGCATTCAAATTGACGGCCAATCCCCGCACAGAAAACTCCTCCAATGGTTGGGGCAGTTCCCGCAGGTTCATATTTTTACACAAATTGTTAATTAATTGTACAAAATTTAAATATTAACAGACGTAAAACCTAAACAGGCAATCGATGTTTATAAAAATGGAAAAAAAAACATCGATGCATCGATAGCACCGTCGATGCATCGATAGCACCATCGATGCATCGATAGCACCATCGATGTTTTTCTCCCATCACTGGTCAGCAGCTCGCATCCCTAACAGTGACAAATTAGAAAATTGCTTACAATTGGAGTGCAAATTACGCTTGAACCAAACTTAACGAAAAATCAGGTGACTTACAACGCTACAAAATAAAATAACATAAATAGAAACATTATTTATGCGAATCCGTATGTTCTCCTTTAGAAATGTTGCCGAAAGTAGTGCTCCTGATGGCCCCTATTGTGGGAGGCCTGGCCACCGCTTACATTTGGAACGTTATCGCCAAGATGGAACGCGAGCGGCAAATCAAAAATGTTCTCATTGCGGATATTGAAAAGTGCGTGGAAGCAGTGCGCAATTCACGCGCCCAAGGAGACGTCTCCTTTGAGGAGAAGGACGGCGATGCCATTGACCCACTCGACGAAATGGCCGAACTGGCTTACCAAATGGAATTCGAAGAATAAATAATCACATGTCATCATTTACATTATTTTGGTTTACGAGTAGAGTACAAAAATAAAAATAGTTAAACCATGGGAACCACAATGTCGTCTCTTCGTCACTTCTCGGGCACTCCTGCAGTGACGCGAGACCTCGGCCAAGACAAGGAGGATGAGCCACTCTGCCCGATCGCCGCGTGCAACTAGCAGGAAGCCCACTCCCACTTGCTAAACCACATAATGAGTGCCCACATGGACGGGGAGCCCAGGGTAATCGTGCCCCTAGGCCGGGACCTGTGCGTGGCCGCTGGGATCTAGCCGTGCCGGAGCGAGACTTGACGTTCAGTGTCCAAGAGATGAGTCTCCATGTGCCCGTGCTGGTGACGGTATGCAGAACCCGTCCGATGACCCAGTCCGAATAAGAGAGGGGACGTCTTCCGTCAGTCCCTCTGGAGATCATCAAAAGCGATCTGAAATGCGCGGCCGCCGTATGCTGCGGAGCTTCAGCACCGGAGAGGCTGTGCGACTCTGGGCAGTACGCTGTTTTCCTCGAGATGGTGCAGCCCAAACTTTCAAATTGAATATCTTTGAACTTGTGCACATTATCGGAGAGCCGAACAAGAAAACTAATCCGCAAATTTTTGCGGGTATCGTTTGGGATGAAGATTGTGGCTCAGCTGCTGCCGCAGTTGGTGGCCCACTAGAGTGCGTTGAAATCTGTTGGGGCATGGGCTGGGCTGGGCGTGGCTGGGCTTGGCACCTTGGCGCACAAATTGAAGCCAGTTTATGGGTCACATTTGGCAAGGCGGCTGGGCTCGGCTCGGCTCGCATTATTGATTCCGCTTGCCAGCTTTATTGCCCCTTTTTCTGGGGCATCACTTTTTTACGGCCGCAGCAGACTCGCTCGCAACAACAACGTCCTCCTGAAAACAGGACGCAGAAGGAACGGACGGACAGAGCGGATACAACTGAGGCTGCAAATGTGCCATAAATTGCTGTCTTTTATGTTTTCATGTTTTGGCAGGCATTCAGACAGGCCATGCCACACGCCACACGGCACAGTCAAAGTGGCACAGATCAAATCAGATCCGATCGGATCGGAGGCGGGAGTTTTAAGTGATTTTTGCGTTCCAATAATACCCGAATTCACGTTGCCAGAACTATCCACATTATTGCATGCTAAGGGAAACCTGCTGCTGCTCAGTTCAATTTCAGGCGAACCGTAGAAGCCAACTGGCAAACTCTTGACTTTAAGCTGCAACGGCAATCAGAGGCAAGGGGGCAAGAAAACAAACAATGGCAACGGCTGGCGATGCTCTGGCTGCTTGACGTCCCAATATAGCGCGGCGACATGTTTACGATGCATTTGTATCTGCTCCGTACAACATATTCACCCCACCCCACCGCACTCTTTGGCCTGCCCGGGTAGCCGTATGCCGTATGCCGTATTCCTGTGTTCCTGTATTCCTGTATTCCTTCTGTATGCTCTCACATGTTGGCATTTTCATTGAGGGAAAATCAGTAAAGTCGGCGCAAGGATTTCAAATTCCCATTCCCATATGAAGCTCTTTGTGTGTGTCCAATGTCCAATGTCCACCCGTCCACTCGTCCGGTCGTCTACGTGTGCGTGCTCCAAAAAGGAGAAACATCCCTAGGGCGGGGCAACGACAACGATGAGGACACATAAAGGCTAAATTGGACCCTGAATGGGCGCTGTGGAAGACATTGCCTGGCCAATGGACAAACACTCAAGTCATTTAGAGCCCGTCCACTCTCAGGAACTGTCTCGAAAAAATATCTGTCCACCGCCAGGGCCTATTGAATTGGAAAATTCAATGGATACGTGTATAACCATACCATTGCGGGGCCCCACTACAAGTCTATAATTACGCACTCTTCGTCTCGAATGGAATTGATCTCTGATATGGGATTTCCTCAACCCGTTGCCGTTCTCCAATCCTCAAAGGAGCAGGAGCAAAGAGAGAGGACATCGACACACAGAACGTGTTAACATAAAGGCTGAAACGTGTAGCACGGCCAAGTGGGGAGGGGACCCATCAGGGCGAGGAGTCGTGCCATGCCGCCTGTCAAAACTTTTTGCTTCTATTTCCTCTCTCTTCGCATGGACTCTTGTTGCCAGTGAAGGTGTAGCAGGTAGTCTCATGCTGTGGCATCAACACCTAACTCTGGGGATTGGATTACCCTTAGTTCGGTATCGCAGGTTGCATAGTTTTCCGTTCAAAGTTCTACGTATGTGAATCATTTTAATTGGCCTTTATTTCTTCGTATATTCTTATTCGTGGAGACCTTGGAAATATATGCACAGATTTATTGAACAGTACTAGTGGAACTTTTAAGAACATTCTCTTACATTCTTGCATATTTTGAAAAAATTGCCAGATCTTTTCTACAGTGCTTCCAGGGATCGCTGAAGATTCACATGTGAATAGGCGTTGGGTAGTCCTTCGACGGTATGTTGAATGTGGCCCAATATCAATGCCTGTATGTCACCGTTCTCGCAGATCCTGTGAAATCGAACGGGTGTAGTCAACAGGCAGCCCGTTTCGTTGGGAAGATAGAATAAATTTCGAGCCGACTGCCATCACATGTACATACATTACCCGTTTGGTCACCCTCGACGATATTTTTTGGTATAAATACGTGGAATAAGCTTGCGACCTCTTGCATTCGCTTTGCCTCTGGCATTAGAACCAGGAAAAGGGGTCCCGTCCCTGTTCCACATTCAGATTAGGTGACGCATTCTTTATCTCGGGACGAATATCGAATATATATTTCGACGAGCGTCCGCTGCTTGGGGGATTCACAATGACAGCGCCGGCACCATCGCTCTTGCGAAGAGCCAGCTACGTGTAGCTGCGCAGAGGCCGTGTGCCGCGCATGCCCAGTTGCCTCATGGCTTTTGCCAAGTCCGACTTAAGCATAGGTTTTTCCATGGAAGTAATCGGTTGCATAATGCCCTCAATATTACTGCCATTCCTGTTGGCGTACTTATTGTTTTCCTGCATGTCTTCTGGGTGAATAAATAAAGAGAAAACAACATCGCCATCTTACATATCGATCACAATATGAGTCGATAGTTTGAGGTATGGGCACACTCTTAATTGGACAACCCTGGATTAAACTTCTGAGCCGCGAAACCTTAATAACTGTATGACTAGCTGCAAAAGCGGAGAAAACTCGATGGTTGCGGGCACCGATGTTTTCGATATTTTGAGAGCAATGTGCGCACAGTTCAGGCGCATTGATGAGTGGAATGGCCGTACCTTTTATAGATATACCATGGTCTCAAACCAACTGGCAACACTGGTCCTGATCAATAACACCGAAATGTAACAGCGCAATCGTAGCCATTCTCACATGTATTCTACAATATTTATAAAGAACTGGCGCTGCGCGGGTGTTTCTTTAAAGGGAGATGGAGATGTTTGTGAGTGGATTGCTGACGGCTGCCGTAAGATATGGTTATTATTAAGTTGAAGACAGAATCTTGCACCCAGAAGACATTATAAGGAAGACAAGGTACGTGAGATGTACATATATATGTGCATATGTATGTATGCATGTGCACATAAGACGAGCGCGTGGATGTTGCGTCACCCCAAATCGGAAAGAGGATGTATGTGCTGTGTTTCTGGGGTTCTCGAACACATTTAAAGGGAATTCCTGTTCGGTATGAACTTAATGCACATTTAAATGCGGCTTGGGGCGGGTGGGCGTTTGGTCGGTGGCTGCCCTGCCAGCTACTTGGGTACTTGGTCGCAGTCGCAGTCTGTTTGCCCAACTTTTCTGCTGACTTTTTAGACTTAAAGTCAAATATTTCATTTGGAAATTCCTGGCGACGAGGCGAGAATGAAATGTGAAAATTTCCCTTCTCTTGCGCTTCCTCTCCCCCTCTCTCTATTACTATTTGCGCGCGTGTGTGTGTGTGTGTGTGTGTGTGTGTGTGAGTGCGATGGCAGCGAAACACATTTTTCTAACTGTGACCCTGCAACCAGCTCTGCCCCGTGCCTCCTGCCCCCTGCAACCTGCACCCCTTTGGCGGCTGCTTAAAAACTATAAATTAAGTTTACAACTTTTCCGCACAAACTTTTTCCTCTCATCCCATCACATCCCATCTCGTCTTGTCCCCTACCCGCTGCCTGTTTATTTTCGCTGTTCTATCACAGTGTGACAAAATGGCATTGTCCGGGTCCGGGTCCGGGTCCGGAATCGGAATCTCTGTTTCCCTTTCTCCATGGCTGTCTGTCTCCGTTTCTCCCTGTATCTATCTGTCCTTGCTGCTTCCCCATTTCCATTTCCATCTTCATTTCTCTATCTCTGCTTGTGCCACAGACAGAGGAGTAACCGAAATGTATGTCAAGTGTTACCAGAAGCAACTTTGACATCCATCATTTGGCTTCTGAGTCACTTGTTGACCTTTGTTTGCAACACGACACGAACGAGACTGGAACACCACCACCATCTGGGGGGGAGTGCGGGTGCCGTCACCTGACAGCTAATCAAAATGTCGCACAAAGTTCATTAACAACATTTTCCAGTCAATTGTCTTGTCCAGGCATTCGACTCGAGTCGACGGGCAGGACAGTGCAACAATATGTCTGCACCTGCCACTGGCACTTTGCCCCTGCCTCTCACTTTGTTAACAGCCTGGTCATAAGGCTGTTTGTCTTTCACATCGGCGTGTCGATGACTGCGAGACAGTGCCCCGACAATTCATTGCTAGGCAAATCAGGTGAACTTAACGAACTGTTACTGGCGGACAGACGGACAGATGTCATTTGGTTAGCCCATGAACATTTATGTCGGTTATGTTCCAGTCACAGGTCACAGATCTCAGGAGGAAAAGGGAATGGAGGACCTAAGCTTAAGAACATCCATAACAACAACAATTTCAGATAGCAGACTTTGACTTGGCAAATGCCAGAGAGAAGGACAATAAAGGGATCTAGTATTGGGTAGTATTTCCTCTTTCGCTGGCACCTTTTGTGTAGCAATAATCTTGGCTTTTATAAATCCAATTTCTAAATTTCTTGATATTGCAACTCCTTTTAGATGCAGAGCCTTTGATGGAAGAAACAGACAAGAAGAACACGACCAAAGGATCATCAATATTTATGTGCACGCCATTAGCAGCATAGCTTATTCCTGCATTTCCTATTTCCAAGAGGATGAGTTTCTGGCGCTCTTCTCACACGCACAAAAGCGCAAGCGGGTCAAGGATATTATGCATATGTGAGTGGGAAAGTCGAAACAAAGGCGAGAGAATGGATGGGATGGGAGTCAATGGAGTGCTTCTGCCGGCTGTGCCATACCAAAGACAGATGCCATCGTCACCCTCTCTCTCTCTCGTCATCATCATCTGTACCGGTATGGGCATCTGCATCGCCATCTGCAGCATCATTGTTGTGTTCCCCACTCGAAAGTCGCACAAATGAACGCGTAATTGTTTGCACATGAATACATTGAGTAAATATTTGCAAACACATTCAGCAGCAACTCCAACTACAGGCTCTCTCTATCTCACTCTAGGTACTGCTGCATTCTGAGGCATGCCCCATCATCATCATTTGCATGTCGTGGCATGGACTTGAGCTGCATTGCCAAGTCAGAGAAGGCAGGCCTTAATCTGCTTACCTTGCCTTGGTGACAGACATTTCTTTTCACCTTTTGAAAGCATTGAAAGCATTGCAGATGCTGCAAACGGTGTGGCTGTGGGTGGGACTGGGGCACAAGATCAACTCGGTGGAGAGTGGAGAGTGTAGAGGAATCTCGCTGGCAAAGTTGCTGAATTGCTTCGCAGGGCTTTGCTTTAATTACGGTATGCCCCGGACTTTGAGAGCACAAACAAATTGCAAATTGTTTATGGCATGCAAATTAATCAAATCTCTTTCTCAATTAAGCCATGCCAGGCAGACCGCCCGGCAGTCGAGCAGGCGAGAAATGCAGGCAAAGCGAATCGCCTGATGACCCGAGCAACGAGAAACCAACGAGAAAATGCACAAATATTCCACAAGTTGTAGCCAAGCCATGGACCAGGGCTAAAATGCATAATTTATATGGGGAGCATGCTCAGCATCACTCTCGCCACAACATGGCGCTGCATGGCAGCTAAGGCTATGATGTGTCCTCCGATGATACCCTGTGACACCTATCAGTAGGAAGCGATGATCATGAGGAGCAGAATAATTCTCGTAGGTATGTATAAATACTATGAATATTTTGGCTTCCCTTAAGCTAACGTTCATTCACGATTGTCTTTCAGTCACGTCCATCAGTCATCCCTTACCCTGTTCAGTTGCTGCTTAATTCATCAAGTTGTTACAAAGTTTCGAGAACCCATAGAAAAACGAGTGAACTCGATATCCCATCCCGTCAGTCAGGCAGGATCGAAACTCATCGATGGCAGAGTGCGATTCCGATTCTGACTACGACTCCGACTCCGACTCGCAAGCAATTCAACTTTCCAAACTGAATAACTCTGCCTAAAACTGCCCGTATGGATGGCATAGGGCTTCGGTTCGTAAGCCAACTTCATGTAATTGAGTGTAAACTTGTCGGAGCATTTATTTAATGCCTAATCAAGTGATGTGTAACACATGACTTATCCACTTTCCCTGCTAAACGGAGTTGCTCTCTCTCTCTCTCTCTCTCGCTCACGATGGATTGCATATAGAGCAAGTGATAGAGAAAGGATGAGCAGAGTTGGGATGTGTTGAATGTGCTGTGTTAAGCCAAAGTGTTGTGTCAGTTGTAGCTTGTCAAAAGTTGTGTTGTGTTGTCCAATTAGCATAATTTCTTGACTTAAGTTTGGCCTTCAGCCTCGCTTCTTCAGAGGGCCAGTAACACTATCGGCGTCAGTATCTAAATTGCCCAAAACTATTCGGAATTAACTTAAAGTTTGCCTTAAATTGTTCTTCAGTTTGGCTGAAAGTTCGAGGAAAACTATCCCATATCCCATATGATGGCATTTTCCGCTTATGTGGATTCTGGCTCATTAAAGAACGAATTGTAATTATTTCAGATGTTCCATAGGAGCAGCAATTAATCACTTGGATCTTCCTCGGATTGGTCGGATTGGAGAATGGGTCTGCTCCAGCACGAGGAAAGTTCGTTTCTGGTATGTAAACGGGCCTTCTCATTTCTGAATGCCTTCTAATCCTTTCTCCCCAATCCACAGCCGCAGGACCCATCGAGAGTCCCATTTCCGGTGACAATCGCAGTCACTACTACCAGCTACCGATGATGTTGGCACGGGAAGGCGATGCGCTTCCGAAAGGAAGAGAAAAATCAACAGCTGGCAAAGAGCGAGCCAGAGCCAAGGTCGTTGCACAGCTCTCTCTCTCTCTCTCACTCTGTCTTTCTCTCTTCACCACGTGCCGTCAGGCATTGCGGCGACGGAGCACGAGACGATACGACTCGGCACGAGAAAAAACTCACCACTAAACGAGGAGGCGAGGCGCCTCCGTGCTGGGACGCCACTGTCACTGCCACTGCCATCGCCTCCATTCAGTTTAACGTCGAACTCTGCTGCTGCCAGTTGCCTGCGCCAAACAGCCACGGAACCAGCCAGATTCAGCCAGCCATTCAGTTAGCAATTCAGGCTACCATCTCGAAGCCATAGTCATAGCCAACCAGTCAGCCATTCGAACAATCGCCGAACAGCGACAGGTCGTGACGTGTGTCCTAGTGCCAAGAGTAGTGTCCCTCACTTTGCGGTGATTCGTACAGACAGTCGGTCAAGTGTCTCGCAGATAATTGTCATCATTTTTAGCCCGAATCGTGATTGTTTTTGAGCGGAAAATACACACGGAATTACTGCTGCTGTCTGCTGCTGCGGCACAAATAACAAATGCCGATTTGTCTCTTTTGGGCAGAGTGAAATTATACGATTGCTTTTTGTTGTGCTTTTTTTTCGGTGTTTCCTGCCGGCTCATCCCGCGCCACAGACACAGTGCGTATGATTAATATTCAATGAAAAAACTGTCCATCGAAGCGTGAAAGAAAATAAAAATAAGAAAACAGCAAAAGTGTAAACTGAGCGGCAGAAGATAAGCAACAGCCATACGAACGACAATCCAAAACCAAAGCCAAAGCCAAGTCCAAATCGAAAGAGGGGTAACCAGAGGCAACCCGAAAACCCAATCAACCAAATAGGCTGCGGGCCAAAAGTGTGCTCCAAAGAAGGAACCAAACGGTTAGTAAACACAAACTGTTTGTTGTCTGTTATTGTGGTGATTTCTCTGTGTGTTTTTGGAGGAATTTGGTGAAAAGACGCCAGGACAAGCGCACTTTTCCTGCAGCAATAAAACGAATGAATGGTAATCTTTAACCGCTTTTGTACTTTACTCAGCATACATTGACATACGAATGTTTTCAGTGTTACATAGGATTTAAATACTGCAATTTGATTTCTCGGAATAGAATATGAATTCAAATTCGAGTATGTGCCAGAGGAATTCTTGCCAAAACGTTACGAGTGTGTCTCTTGCGCTAAAAGGTTCAATAGTAGCGTATTAACCTTTCAGCGATCAAGAGTTAATTCTTTAACAAAATATATATAGGGTTTTGAGTGTTTCTCAAGCGCTAAAAGGTTCAATGGCGATGTGGAACCTTCTGCCGCTTGGGCGCCATGTATCGATTATAACTAATTGATTGTCTTTTTGTATGATTTCCAATGGAAATGTGTGGAGCGTATACGCAACTTTTGGCCACATTTTGGCCTTCGCTTAGATGCCACATTGTGTAAAGGGCGTATGTTGTAGCGCCAAAAGGTTCAATGCTAATCATGAACCTTTTGAATGAACTTGTTATGTTAGAGTGCGTTTCTGTAGAGTGTGAGCCCATGAGTTGATTGAGTTGCATTTGGTTGTGTTATTAGATCCCGCACACAGTGTAAAGGTGTTTGAGAGTAAGGTTGTCTTTGGGGCGCTAAAATCTTAGAAGTGCCCGCACATGGTCAGGTGTAAGTCTACATCTGGGGCGTTGGTTATGCGTACAATCGAGTGGACGCGTCTTGCGGAGGGATTTCCCGTATTATTTAGTTGCACACGTCTCGCGAGCTGAGATTCCAAAATGTGGATCAACTTGGGCTTCTGCGCAGATAAGGATAAGATAAAGCGGATATGCTTTTAGTATCACACTTCTAATCGTTAAATTATTCGTTAAATTATTACCTCTTTGGTCCACATCACAATGCCGTTCTGATAGGTGTCCTTGCATGTGATCGCTCCAGTGCCCGTTGGCTGTTTGGTCTCGCTGATAGATCAATGAGTGAAAATGGGGAAAGTCAGATAAAATACAGATACTACTAACCGACAGTCATCGCAGTAGGGTGAGTGTTTGCATAGCACTGCAGGAGAGATCGCACAAGATTAGTTCCTGTATAATTCTGTAGGAGGAAGAGAAGAAACCCAGAAACTCACCGAGCTTGCACTTGCCGCACACGAACCCAATCTTATTGCCAAAGCCGTGGCAGGCACAGCGTGCCGGCACCGTAATGTGGGACCTTGGAGACTTGATCAAGTACGTTGGGTACAGAAAATGGTCAACTAGGTCGCCAGACAGACTCATCGTGTCGTTGGTGCAGAAGTAGAGGCCATCGGTGGTGTCCGTGGCACGCTGCAGCGGCAGCTGCTTCGGCACCTTCACGCCACACACGTTGATGGTCACATTCGTTTCCAAGGCCTCCTGGATCACATTGTCGTAGTTCTTGTAGACATCCTCGTGCAGAACTGATCCGGTGACAATGAGAATGCGCCCTTGGACGCTGCGTCCATGGGATGTGTCTGGGATCTGGCGACGACGCTTCTGGATGTAGCAAAGAGCCAGGCCGAGGGACTCGGCTAGAAGCGAGGACTTCTTATCCTCGTTCAGCTTTTCGATGGAAAATTCACGCTTCAGTTCCGCCTCGACCTTAGTCGAAACTGCGTACTCCATGGTCTTGATCGTGTCCAGTTGGAAGTCGTACGTGGTCAATGGTTCATCAATGGAATGAGCCAGCATTCTGAGGAAATAGCTGTGAAAGGAGCGTCCAAGGGGAGAGGACTCTGCGTTTACTTACACAATGCTCCTGGAGCACGCGATGATCCCCACCTCGTTGTGCGGTCTCTCCAGCAGATGGCCATTGGCCAGCACCATGGAGGCGTCCACCACATTCAAGACCATGTCTACTTTCCCCGGCTGAATGTAGCTCTGTCCGTAATCGATGTCCAAAATGAGCACCAAAATATGGACATCTTCTGAATCTACAATACACGGGCAATCGCCGCACACCAATAATGTTTCCGTTCCTCTCCCACCATCGACAATAGACAATTGCAATGTCACTTACCCAAATTACTGGTACGCATCTTAAAGAAGCGGCGATTTGCGTCCATACCAGCAGTCGACATTTGATTGCCGCGTTTCTCATTGCTCTTCTTGATCTCCGCTTCAGTTTTTGAGCTCTCCATTTTCTTGATGGAAACATTTAAGGTATTAGATCGTTGTGCTTCCATTTTAGATTAATTTCTAACAATTTTCGTTTTCTTTTCACCAAATATTCTGACACCGAAAAATTCTGATGAAAGTGTTGAACAGACTGAAAAGTTGATTGACACAGAGCACAAATAGCACTAAAGCAAGGGGAAAGGAAAGGCAAGGGCACCTATGTATGTATGTTCAAGATTTATAAGACACACACATATTTATAGTGTATGTGAGCGGTAGGTATATCTGTAAGACTGTGTATAGTGAGTGGCAGGCAGAGGTCCGCCCATGAAGGCCATCTCTGATGGTGCCTTCGCGGACCGAAGGGCTGCCACCAACTTCAAAAAGCCAAGCAACAAGATCCGCCCCAAGGTTGGAGGCTGTGTGAAAACTGCCTTCATATTGCTTAAATGCGAAAATCGCTTAAAGTTTCCACAGCGATTGAATATTCCTCCCTTGCTCGGCATATTCGAGCCAACAAAAAATATTCGCAACTTTTGCGTGCGAGTGTGTGTGTGGGGCATGCGTGCGTGTGTGGCAGTGTGTAGCAGTGTGTTGGCTAAAGTAATTTACCAATACAGGCGAAGGCAGGCGGCATCATAAATCACACGTTTTGCTCGAACTACAGAAAGTGGCAAGCGCCATGGGGCATGGGGCATGGGGCATGGGGCAGATGGGTTGGGGGCTCGGGGAGCAGATACACGCGTGTCAGAAGTCAGCCAATTTGGGCAACATTTTGACAGACCACCGCACCGTCGAGTGCTTACAATTGGGGATTATCGATATGCCCGCACTTCGGCATCGATACCGAGTATCGATATGCATATGCATGTACTCGATGCTTTCCCCTCTAGAAAAGTACTTTGTGCGTCGTCAGTGTGTTCCGTGTGTTTTTTGTTAAAATCAGTCTTGAAATAAATAAAAAATGGAGATGGAAAATACGAAGAACAAGCCTCATCGCAGTGAAAAAATATTGGGGTTTCTGGACTATCTGCAGGCGACGCAGCGCCTTAAATTTTGGGTAAGTATTGGTAATGGAATAGAATGTTCGAGAGCGGGCAGACTAAAAATACATAACCTACAATTAGAAACCGCATCCCAACCGATCGAAGGTTGTCAAGTACATTTGCCTCTCGGCCGTGAGCTGCGACATGGACTCGGTGATCAGCACTTTGGCGGTGGCCTACTACCGCTACCGCACCAAGCAATCGACATTCGACCATTACGTGCCGATGCTCAACATGCGTCGTCGCGACTTTGCCGCCAATAAGGAGGTCGACCAGCTGCTGAGAAAATGGAATATCGATGAGGCACGTCACTTGCTTTTTCGCGATGATTTCAAGATAGAAATACTGATGCAGTGCCGCTTCATCCTGGTGAACCACCACGACAGCTGCTTCAACAATCTTGTGGTGGAGTTTTACGACCATCGTCCGTTCCGGTTCAGCGAAGCACCCCTGCCCAGGGACTGCCAGTGCGACTTGAGCATCCTGCCGATGCACTCCTGCGCAGGCATGATCACTGCCTTGTACAAGAAAGCCTCGATGGAGAGCAACATTGTCTTCGAGCTGCTGCACACCGCGCTGCTCATGGCGAACAGCAACTTCGTAATGGTGCCACCAAACACGCTCGGCGACGTGCCAGACTTCCGAATGCTCAAGCATTTGGAGACACTCATTCGGGACAAGGCCATGGAGCCCGAAGAGCGCGCCAACGCCTACCAGAAGACGACCGACTCTGTTTCTAAATCCGGTGTGCTCAGCCTGCCGGAGATCATCCGACGCAAATTCAAGCTGCTGCAGACCAGCAATGGCAAGGTCATGCGTGACGTTCTCTTCACCAGCTTCCCGATGGCCCTCAGCACGCTCGTCACTTTTAGCCAAGCCCCCCAGGTCATCGATACGTTCGGCAAAGAGCAGGCCGCCGACTTCATTCTGATGCTGAGCACAACCCCTGGCACGGAGGTGTACGGCCCCAGGCCCGTCTATCAGCTGGGTCTCCTCCCTATGGACGGACTGCAGGATCGGAATAGTCGTCGTCTATTCGAACACATAGTCGTCAATCTGAATCTGTCCGTTGATCCGATGCTCAAACTGAAACCGTTTTCCAAGTGCGACTTCATGCATGGCGCCTTCTACAACCTGGGCAAATTGGATAACACCGTTCCGGACGTGCTGCACCTGGTGGAGCGCATCTTGTACCACTGGGCAGAGAAATGCCGTTGTGTCACCGTCGCCGACAAAAAAAAGCCATGTTTTTAAAGAGCATTTCTTAATAAAAACAAAATAATGTATCATGAGGGGGTTCTTTGAATAGTTATACGGAAGTATAAGCTTGTACATACTTATACCCTGTAATCCATTGTCGCCCTTAACCTCCTCTCTGGCTTCAGGCCTCGCAGGCAATCACTCATCGCAATCGCAATCGCAATCTCCTTGACCCGCTGCCAAATCATATTTCTCCATTCTACCCCGTATATGAATTATGTGTGGCAAAAAATGAATTTCCCTGGGTTAACAAGATGTTTATAAAAATGGAAACCCCACCCGCAAGGACACGCACAACGTCGGAAAGGGTGGGGTTGGGTGGAAGGGGAGTGGGAATGGGAATGGGAGATGGTGCTGGTGGTGCCATTAGACAACGCATTAATCTAATCATATGAGTTCATACGAGACTGGCTCAGAAATCATGGTCTTGCCCAAAAAATCATGAACTCAAAAATGGTTATGCCACGCCCCATTCAGCCCTAAAATACACACACACACACAACACACACAGGTACACAACCAAAGACATTTGCAAGTTGATTTATAAGCGCGCTGATGTCAGTTACGTGCAAAATGGCACCAAGTTTTTTGTGCCTGCCCCACGCACGCACTCAATAAGGTTACGAGCAACGGAAGCGGGTGGGTGGTGGGGGGAAAGGGGGGTGAGCTTGCCTGCGTGCTTTTGTGCTCAGGTTACAACCAAGGGGAGGGTGGGGATGTGTAGGGCAGAAGAGGAGTTCTTGAAGAGGATTTGGCAAAGGTACGCCGATCCCGGCGCCTCCCTTCTCCTGGCACTGCGCAAATTGCTTGCAACACTTTTTGTGCCATTCACCCCCTGCTTTTGCCTTGGCTTTTATAAATCGCTTAGACATGCCCAAACCCCCCCCATCCCCCCATCCCACCACTCTCAGCTCTTCAGCTCAACCCTCCCCACCTCTCACCTTTCTCTTGATAACAACAGCCAGTGGTGGCGACAACTCGAGTCAAAAGAAGCCCGAAAAACAGGAAGCTCGGGAGCTGTAGCTGGAGATGCAGATGGAGATGGGGTGGGGCCCTGCCATCTACTTGTGGGGCTACTGGCGCCACTCAAAACACATCCATCAGCAGCGTATTTGTATGAGAGTGGAAAAAGGTTAAAGGTGTTTCCCCTCCGCATCTCTCACGGCTCTCTGCCATTGTAGCTCCACCTAATTGTCAGGACTCTGCTACTGCTGCTGATGCGCCTGATCCTTCCACTGGGGCATACTTTTGTGTGCGCGTCACGGGTAATGAAGATAATTGCTGCTAAGCGGATACGGGCGGATTTCTGAGACACCTCCACACAGCCCAGTCCGCCCCTGTGTTCGAAAAAGGGAAAGAAAAACTTAACACTCTTTCATGTCGGCTACTGCTGCTGGATTTTCGGCACGAAAGTAATCCTTAAGAAGGCAAAATATGTGCGGCATTTGTGAGGAATACTCGTACATTTCAGATTAATATTCAATTCTCAAATTGCTGGTCAAAATTAAATTTGTTACACAGCATTAAATCGTTTTTTTTGGCACTTACAATTGAATTTATTTTAATTTCCAATTCAGTTACTAGTTTCGATTGCATTTAATTGTTGCCAATAATTTTCTCATCAAATTATATTCAATTAGGCTTTGTGTATATTTCAGACTCAATTTTAATTTGATTTCAATAATTAAATGCATTTAACGATATGTGCAATTTCATCTATTGAATTATGAGCGATTGAACCAGAGGTCGGTCGTCAATTGTTAATCTCAGTCTCAATCATTCCATAAAAGAAGTTCGCATTGTCCACAAGAAATTTCACAATTTGAATGTTTCTCCGAAGAGATAGAAGGTTCTTCGGAGATTGATCTATGGATCGCTTGATAACTATACGAGTAAGAGTTAATGATCCGATTAGCTTTACTTAAATCCATTTAAAACGGGTCCAGCAATACAAATAATTTGTTGAGTTCTTTTGGTGGCATCTCCTTTAAAGACAATATTTTCAGTCTTGGGATTCTGTTTGGTTCCCCCAATTCTCACTCCCTGCATTATTATTTTATTCCGCTTTTTTTTAGTCGTTTACTCATTTTGCTATTTTTAATTTGCCCAGAACGTCCCTCATCCCCTGGCTGGGGGTCTGGCTGTTTTGGCGGAGGGCATAGGACGCCAGAGAGAGAGAAAGAGAGGGGGGAGAGCGACTTGCATTAATTAAATTCTTTCAGCTGGTAAAAGGTGTCGACTCTTCTGGCTGGTGCTGGTGCTGCTGCTGCTGCTGCTGGTACGACGGGTACTCGTGTTAATTGTTGGTGTGTCATAGAAGGAGTAGGAGGAGGGGCAGCATCTGGCTAATTGGTAAATGCTTTAAAGTGCCGGGTGGCTAACGAGGCGTATGCGTAATAAGAACAAAAGCGGCAAGGGGGATGTGGAAAGTGGAATGTGGGCAACTGGACTTCAAGGTATCCTCCTGATCTCCACTTTAGGTATTTCCCATCATTTATGACAGACGCCAACATTTATGACAAACAGATTGGGGGCGGCGCGGCGGATTATACATACATACATACATATGTAACAGGTAATTGTTTTTCTCCTGCTGTATAAATTTCGTGTCCATTTTTCTACTTTATTTTTTGCTTCATTTGTCTCGCTGTTTTTCGGGTTTTCTGCTTCTCTCGTTTGTTGGCATAAATTTATTGTGGCTCTCCCGTCCTGCCCCAACGCATTTGCATAAATATTTTAATTTGCATTTCAACGAACACGAAACATGAACATGGGTGCCCCATCCATGCCATGCAAGGCATATAATCGTATAAAGGTTAGTAGAGAAAGCTCTCCTGTATATACGACGGTGTTTACTTCATTGTTTCGGCATTTTTTTGGCGCAGAAAGATAGAAAAGAAAAAATAATAATCAATAAGAAATAGATATGTAGATGTGGGGGGCTTAATTCTATTCATCTCCCCAGAATAGTTTTTGTTCCATTTAATTCGATATTTGTATGCAAATTTGATCAAAAAGGAACACAAATAATAAGAATTACTTTCCCATCAGACGCGCATTTATGAAAATTATATTTCCTTTGTACGTAGCATTTTTATACCCGATACTCAAAATGAGTATTGGGGTATATTAGATTTGTGGTAAAAGTGGATGTGTGTAACGTCCAGAAGGAATCGTTTCCGACCCCATAAAGTATATATATTCTTGATCAGCATCAATAACCGAGTCGATTGAGCCCTGTCTGTCTGTCCGTCTGTCCGTCCGTCCGTCTGTCCGTCCCCTTCAGCGCGTAGTGCTCAAAGACTATAAGAGCTAGAGCAACGATGTTTTGGATCCAGACTTCTGTGATATGTCACTGCTACAAAAATATTTCAAAACTTCGCCCCGCCCACTTCGCCCCCACAAAGGACGAAAATCTGTGGCATTCACATTTTTAAAGATACGATAAAACCAAAAACGCAGAATCGTAGAGGATGACTATATGTTCTAGATCGTAAAATCTCAATCAGATCGTATAATTATTATAGCCAGAATCAAGAAAATAATTTCATTCTTTCTCGCGCTGTCTCTCTCTAACACACTCACACACACATGGTCGGTTTTGCCAGTTGCAAAATATGAGTTCAAGGATCTCAGAACCTATAAGAGCCAGGGCAACCAAATTTGGTATCCACACTCCTGATATATCGGACCTTGACCGTTTTGTGTCAAAATTTCGCCACACCCCCTTCCGCCCCCGCAAAGGACGAAAATCTGGGGTATCCACAAATCTCAGAGACTATTAACGCTGGAGTAACCAAATTTGGTATCCGCACTTCTGTTATTCTGTTAGACGCAGAATCATAGATAATGACCATATCTATCAGATTGCTGAATCTGGATCAGATCGGATTATTATTATAGCCAAACGTAAGAAATCAATTTGCAGTGGCTACGCAGCGCCCGACGTCACGCTCAGACTGATTTTCGGTCTCTCTCGCACGCACTCTTTGTCGTGTCGTTTAATATTCGCGGCGTCTGCCGGAGGAGAGCCATACTGACTTAGTATCGGGTATAAATGTAGAGTTGCGGTCTCCGCAGCAACTCACAACGTTCCCCTCGTTAAATATTTTTTGCTGGTTTGAATTTGTTTTGAATTAATTGAGTGCCTATTGTCTACTCTTTAGGGTATTTTCAGCTCAAAGAACTACATGTTTCAATATTGATTCATTTGCTGTTGGTCCCGTGTGTGGCTTTAAAGTCACATAAGTCCAACTAAGATCGGTTGTAGCCTTGTAGAGACGCAAAAGTTTGCAGATTCTTATCATATCAAGAGCCTTTCCCCTAAAAGAACAAGGAAAAACAGAGAGAGTGCAGGGCCACAAAGAAAAAGCTAAGCAAACAGAGAGGCAGAGAGGCAGAGGTACTGGAAAATATGTTTTCATTTTCCCCCCGTATATATACGGCCATCCACACACAGACACACGCTCGAAGGTTGTGCATAGGGAAAACTTTCCATTTCAAAATATTTTCTTAGCCAGCTTTTCAATGTTGGCGCTTCTATGGGCACAAGGGCAGGTCCAGGACAGGCGGAGTTGGAGGAGATGTAGAAGGACTATTGCCAAACAAGAGGAATTTTTTGGTGCCTTCCTACTCCTACTCTATTGTGTGTGTGCTCTGGGAAAAACAAGTCTTGTCGTGGTCCTGGTCTTGGTTTTTGGGTCTCGTTCTGATTCTGTGGCATGCATCTGTTTGTGGAATAAGCCAGACAAAAAGGAGGAGGCTTTTGTAATACGGTAAATTTGTTAGCTGGCATTTCATCGGACATCGTAGGGAGATAAGGGGTCAGAAAATCCTGACAACAGATCAATAATTGAATTTGCATAGCACTGCACGCACAACGAGGCGTCTACTTGATGCCCTGAACAATTGCAACAAATTAACGCAATTAATGTCTGCCGAAGGGGAACAACGAAAAATACTCAAACTGAGATGCACGAAGAAGTTGAAATGAA